GTTAGTACAGCCAAAAGAAGAGTGATGCTGCTCCCCCCAGGCCAGCCAGTTCTATCGAGTTTACTTTCAGTTTACCTTGACAATTGGTCTCCTGGCAAATTGAATATTGTTCCACAAATTTGACCAACTGTGTAGTCTCTGTGACAACCATGCAATTACTGGAAGCATCTATGTGCAAATTACTCTTGCAAGGAGTATCGAGTGTAAATGTGCAATCAGGTTCACCTGGAGTGGGTTTTTCATCTTCAGTGGCACCAAGAACATTGTCCTCTTCCTCAGAAGGTACTGGTTCTTCAGTATGAATCTATAACAAAGAGAATGGAGTGACGGAACACAACACTTGACAGATAAAACTTCCTCAAAACATGAGGTCAAACATGCCCACTTGTTGTGAGAATAATCATTACTTATTCAGTATTAACAAGAGCAGATGATAGTTAGAGAGAGTGTCAAACTGCACAATGCCAGCTGGAATATGACCACGTAGAACTAAGTCACGTGAGACCTAAAGTGTGGGTGTACCTACTAAAAGCACGTGTAGAAGTTTGCATAAGGAACAGTGGAGAACACATGAAGAAGCTTTAGACATCATACTAGTACACTTTATAATCCTGCTGAAGCCTGTTATGCAGTACAGCTATTGCAGAGACTCCAAAATGGCCAGTAAACCTTGTTGAGCAAACTAGGCAGCCATTTTTTCCTACTCAGCCACACCCAGTATGCGGGAATGCCCAAAGATGTGCAAGAAAGTTCACACGGTCATATTCCAGCTAGCATAGTGCAGTTCGACACTCTCTCTAACTATCATCTACTCTTGGTATTAATGTAATGATAAATTATCTTCGTTAATCAGTGAATAATCCTAGAGGCCCATCATCGAAACATTTATGCCAGTAACTCTGCAGTAACGTGGAACTTTTCCCTGACATGCAAGAGCTACTAATGATATTTTATTTTTCCATATCATATACAGTAGAAGGCGAAAAAAGATAAGTAGTACACAGGTAGTGCGTAGGTAGTAATTTTACTTCGTTACTCTTCACTGCAATATGCCCAGGAAGTACTGTTGATACCGCCCAGTCACATGTTTCATGTAACAAACGCACATGCACTCTAGAGGCTCTCAAAGGACTTGAGGATGCTTCTCTTGGCTGTCTTTACTCTCCAAGTTCATCTCTACTGCTGCTCTCTGCTTATAGAACGCCATTGAGGAGGCTCTTTGCTCCATTCACTGTTGAGCTACTGTCCTGCTGCTGTCCAAGTGCACTACTGCCACTGATCGGTTTGCACATGCGCAACGAAGGACCAGCGAACTACAGTTTAGAGAAAAAAAGCTAAGTAACTGCAGCGTCACTACTCTTGCACCGCGCAGTAAAGTACCTTCCACTGCGTAGGATTGACCCTTGTGCTGTGCTTGTATTGCACATGCGCAGAGTAGCTGGTGGGCAGGGTAGTCCTTGCCCACTGCACAGCTACCCTGCACAGCTACTATATACTACTCTTCCAAGGCTACTCTACCGTCTACTACTTATACTAAACGGCACTTACTAGCGCTTGTACTCTACTGGTTTCAAAGAATATGGGTCTAAAAAGTAGCCGGATATCAGTAAATAATGGTTTTATTACTATGTGTAAGGTTCTTCTTATGTAGGAACGGTGATTCTACTGGGCCGTAGCGACAGACTATGACTGTCACAGTGCAATGGTGAACTGTTATTATGAAGTCTAGGAGTTACAATGCATGTTTGTAGTCATTTCTTTTTCTGACTTTTATTTTTGTTCTGAATTGTAAAAAATAATGATATTTTATGTACATGTAAAGCTTATATTAACCCCGTACTTACTACCCCTTTCAAATTGCAAAAATGCGCGCATGTATCTGGTGGACTAGTGACAATGGTGTACTGCACTTACAAACAACAGAGGATTTCACATTCCTTTTGTAAGTATTTAAGTAAGTATTCACCACTAATTTTACTGTAGCACTGGATATCAAAGTCTCAGGTGTGAGCAAACTGATTAAGAAATACATGGAAACTGGTTCAATTACTCAAAGGCCAGGTTTGTCAGTATTAATTCTACTACACTTCTCATTATTTTCACAATATAGGATCTGGAAGACCTTCAAAAGTAACCAGAGAAGTTTTAAAGATAGTATAGGACCAAATGCAAGCTGATGATGAAAGCACTGCTACTCAACTTCAGTAGCTTCTCGTTGAGAAAGGTCATTCACTGTCACTGAAAACAATATTGAAGTCTCGCAATACACTTGGTTGGACATACTGTGGCAGTGCATACTGCCAGATCATTAGAGGACCAAATAAAGAGAAGCGAATGAAATTGGCTCAAGATCAGTTGCAGGAGCACAGGACTACTGGTTTTTCTGATGTACTGTACAGTGATGAGTGTACAATTGAATTCGAATCCCACAGGAGATTTTCATGAAGGAAAATAGGTGCCCTCGAAACCAAAACCAAGGTAGCACTAAATTAATATTACATGTACGTTAATGGTATTTTTTTAAAACCTATTATATAGAGCAAAACACCCCTATAAGGTACATGCATGGGCAGGTATAAGTTGCCAAGGAAAGACGCCAATTGTGCTGTTTGAAGAAAAAATGAATTCAGCTGGCTTTATTGAAGTTTTGGAAAATGGACTGATTCCTTATACCCAGCATTTAAATCCATCTCAAAGATTGACGCAGGATAATGATCCCAAACATTCCTCAAAGAAAGTAAAGGAGCGGTTAGAAGCCAACAAAATAAACTGGTTGAAAACATGACCAGAATCCCCAGATCTTAATCCGATTGAAAATCTATGGCACGAGCTCAAAGAATATGTCAGGAGAGTAGTGCAGCCACAACGAAAGGAGGAATTAGTCAAAGGAATCATGGATTGTTGGGAAACTGTAAATAGAAGAAAGTGTAGTAAATATATCGGGACACGTACGTAAAGTAATATCAAAAGTGATTGAATGCAATAATGGAGGTCCCACTGGATAGAAGAAAGTGTAGAAAATATATCGGACACTTACGTAAAGTAATATCGAAAGTGATTGAATGCAATAATGGAGGTCCCACTGGATATTAATATTTGTACATGTACACAGTAGCTCTTTCGATCTTCTTCTTTCCTTATAAATGTAACATCACATACATGTAATCTATGCTAACAGACTTGTACATTACAGATTGCATGCACTTATAACTCTCTTCTATACCCCTCCCAATCCTTCTCCCTCCCACATGTATTATAATAATTAAAAGCAAAATATATCTTTTATTCATTGTATATCTTTTGCATCTTTATATCATTATATCTAATATATAATATATATACATGTATAACAACAGTGTCACTGTGTTAGACTATTTATTATCTTATATGATACTATACTCAGTGTAGCCTTCTACTCTAGATTCTTAATATCAGGTGGATATTTGCTTCTAAGCCCTGAAGAGTAATGATTTATTGCTTGAATACACTTAGACCAATACAGCTAAAATTCTTCCTTTGTACTAATATCACGTGGATGGAATAATCCCAGTAGCTTCTGCTTCAGCTCCATTAGAGCACCAGATGGCAAAGGAGGGTTCTCCTTCTGCCTATACACACTACGTTTAATCAAAAGTGATGGTCCAAAGTAAACTTTGCTCGCTAATCTTACAGATGATTGTCCAACTTGAGAGAGTGTCTTTAGTTTGCGATATTTATTAATCACAGTATCAGGATTCAACAAAGGAGCATTAAAATCAATTTTCCTTCTATTACCAGTGTGCACAGGAGTATTTGTGATGATTGCCTTTACTGGCTCATTAGTTGGAGTTACTGGATCTGTATGCTGAGGTAGATTACAAGCAGATGGGGCACTAGGAGTACTTCCATTACTGTTCATGTATGTAGCAGAGTACCTGCCTAGAATATTAATAGGATATTACTAATCTCTAATAATTATTAGTGAATACTAACCCTTGTGTTCATGCTAGTATTTCCAAAGAAATGGTATGTTAAGCAACCCAATTGGGATGGCACCATGATACTCTGTTCTTCTAAAATTTCCATTCTTCTAATTAGAGACAGTATATAACCTCTAAACAAAACAACATTAATTGTTTGTGATAATCAAGTAATATGTTATTCATGTTACTAAATTTGTACAGGTACTTGTAAAACAATTCACCTGTTTCAGTACTACATGCAGCTTGAGTTTTAAGCTCCACCAGTGCAAGTGGTGGTGGAAGTGGTGGAGGGCTATGACAAAGAATTCTTTCACTGAAATCTGCCTCTTTTCTCTCTGAAGGTTTTCTTGCTTCTAATAATAAGTAAAACAATAGTAATAATTATTATTATATTTAATCTTACCGATACTAATATGCTTAGAAGGATCTCCAGTGTTGAAGCTTGTTGCTTCATTATTTGCAGCAGATTCATTATTTGTAGCACAACCAACAGCAACAATATTAACTGTGCATTTCTGTTTTGTGTTTTTATAATAAATTACCTTTTTAATGCATTATGTACCTTCACCTTCCTTTCCTTTTTCTATTTTAGGTTTCTTTATTCGGTGGTACCTACATGTAGATGTGAATTTACATGTAGGGTTAGTAATACTATATACCATCTCACTTTTCTTAGCTTTCCTTTTTATTGTGGCACGCTTTGTAGTCTGACTCATTCTTCATACTCTCAGCTGACTGTTTCCCCATATTCTTGGCTGACTCTTTCTCCAAATTCTCCGCTGACTCTTTCTCAATCTTCTCAATAATATCACCTGCTGCATTACTTACATCTTTCTTATCTCCTAGAAAATTATATGTGCAGCTATTGACTAAAAATTAAAGTACAGTGTTACCAAAGGTGACTATTGTGCCATCATGAAAGTCCTTTCCATCCCTTACTCTGCAGGAGGTACCAGCTTCCAGCTGCTCAACTTCTACACAGTTTGCTTTCACAATAGAATAAGTATCGTCTTGCTTAAAGTATTTCAAAAAGTAAGAAGCTACATTTAAAATAATAACAAGACTCCTAAACATGTCTTTAACTTACGATTTGTCTTCTTCTGGGTGTCTTTTATCAGCTTTCTAAGACTCATTTCTACTCGTTTCCACTGAGTCGTAACCGGGCTGGTGAAAATTAATGCGCATGCGCAGCACATCAGTAGAGTAGAGTAGCACAGGAGTAAAGAAAGCAAAGCTGCTCGTTACTACTACCGTTTTGATTCGCATGAGCTGTGTAGGAAGAAAAGTGCAGTTCGTAGGAACTACTCTGCGCTACTTAGCTTTTTTTCTCTCTAAACTGTACCTACGCAACAGTAGAGTAGCTACTTATCTTTTTTCGCCCTGTACTGTATATAAATGAAAGCCTGTTAGGGGCTCTCTCACATGCAGGATCATTGCCATATAACACTGCATTAGGATTAAATTTAAAACTGCACAGAATACATGTATGTATGTAGACAGAAATGATAAGAAGAAATGTAAAGACGAATACATTTTTTGTAAAAAATGTCATAACTATTTACAAAAAATAAAACAATTAAGTTGACTCAATACATTTAACCTTATGTTTCAGTTTTTTGTTAATGGGAATGTTTAACGTTTCTAACACTTAAAGAACAGTGGTTATGTAATCAAATATGAGACAGTATTGCAAATACATTATTTTAATAGCCATCATGTCTCTGGTATCAACAAAAAGCTGTTTCTGAACGAAAAGACATCACCAGTTCATCAGGTGAATTTTTTAAAATCTACTGGCAGATTAAATTTACCAAAAACTACAGTATTTTCTTTGTAACTTTCTTCCCTCACTAGATGGCAAAAAGGCAACCACATAAGGTATAGTTCCTTAATTTTGATGCAATGCTCAAAATTTAAAATACAATATGAATTACAAAACTAACTTTAACTGAGGTTTTAAAATGACATGCATGAATAATCTATTGTTCCCATGGTACATGGATGCATAAGAAAGTATACCAAAACTGCCAGAGTACAGCTACTGCATACCAGAATATAATTCATTCAAAATGTGCAATTAGAAATTAAATGAATAGTGCCTGAGGTTAGCTAAAGTGACAGATATTATTGGCAAAATCATTGAAATTACTGATATAAAGATCCAGACTAGGGGTCAATGACAAAAGCTCAATTATATTTACGCATTCAGTTACACTCCTTTTGCAAGAAGAGGCTCAATTACAATTACAGTTACACCATGACAGTGTAATTTCAATTACATTTTCAATTACAATTAAAACTTGATGTCAACAAGATACATTGCAATGCTTACACTGTGGCTTAGAATTTACATCAGGTAGTGATTTGCAGTTATCAAATAAACCAATAGACACTAGTGTACATTAAAAACATTTCTTTGTGTATCTGTACATTCTGTAGTTAGTTAAATCAAATATAACTGCTTCAATTACGTAAGCTGAAGCTCAATTACAATTACACAACTGTAATTGTAATTGACCATTAAATTATAATTACAATTGTAATTGACCCCAGGTCTGAAAAGATCACATTACAGTAGTTCTTTAAAACTATGGTGATTGTCACTAAGTAGCCATTTTTACATCCTATTATTCATTCCAAAATTAATCTACAAATATAATTAGCCAGCCATTAGAAGGACAAAACCCTGTCCACTCCTTGTACAAATACATTGTACTTCTTTTTTACACTGGATGATTCTTAATTACACTGGATCAATCACTTTTGAAGTTTTTTCGCACACTTCAAGAAAAATTTTATTAACAATACTCAAAATCTCTAAAAGTAGGAAATCTCTAAAAGTAAAGTAGGACCATTATGTAGGAAGGAAATAGTGCATTTGAACACTATTTTTGAAATGATGGCGGTAAAATCATGGTGGTATCAAAAGTAAACTTAATCATGGTGGTATCAAAAGTAAACTTAATCATGGTGGTATCAAAAGTAAACTTAATCATGGTGGTATCAAAAGTAAACTTAATCATGGTGGTATCAAAAGTCAGACACTCCTTAAAACATTATCTATTGGGCAGGAGATTGCCCAAATAGGCACAACAGAAGTAACTAGTTTTGAGTCAAAATGCATGCAATTTCTGCTTAATTAATGTACTTTAAATGTATTTTAAATAGGTTCTCACTAAAAATTATTGAAGAACTTACATGCACAACAGGCAATGGTACATCGACTCTAGAAACAGTGACACAGGAATCACAATCTTTTAATTTCTTTTCTCTTCTCTAACAAAGGAAAGAAATAATAAAATAGCAAAGATAAGTTTCTCAACAACTGCAACACTCTTGGCTAAAAATAAACCATTACAGATTGCACTAGAGACCTTTGCATAACAAACAGGGTGCTTATATAAGATATCATTAAATAAAAGAAATCCATGATAATTGAGGGTAAAAAATAGTGCTATTTCTTTCCTACATAATGGTGTGACTAGGCACATTATACACATTATACAATTTGACCTATCTATATAGGCAGAAATTAGTGCCAAGCACTATTTTGTCCCAAAAATACTATAAAGAAGAATTAGTGCCTGGCTGCCTGCTGCACTATTTTGTCCCTACAATACTATAGGGAAGAATCAGTGCATTCTGCACTATTTTGTCCTACAATATAGAATTAGTGCGTTGTGCAATTTTTTGTCACAATTAAAGTATATGGGGGCAAAATAGTGCAGCAGGCACTAATTTGTCCTTATTGTACTTTAGGGAAGAATTAGTGTTTGCTGCACTTTTTTGTCCCTACAATATTACAGGTAAGAATTAGTGACAGCTGCACTATTTTACCCCTATTAAATTTGGGGGAATTTATTTCTAAAACAAAATACATGATATTCACATAATTATACATTTGCCAAGGCCATATCTATAAAGATAAGTTTGATTTGATAGAGGGAGATGTGTGTGTTTAAGATAATTTTAATGGAATGATGATGCTTTTGAAATTACTGAGATTATTTATCATTCAATTTGTGAAGAACCTAAATAACTCCGTTTTTTATGGTCTACATGTGTACTACCATAATTATAGTATCACTATCAATGAAAAATAAGTAACTGATTTTAAATTTTACTTTTTGTTAATTTAAAGACTTTAATATATGTCATGCATTGTATATTATTTGTACTAAAACAAAAGGCACTCATGTCTTTAAAAAGTGCTAAACAGATAATGAAATGGTGTGAAGTGACATTACAATAGTCAAAGGAAGGGATAGTTTTGTGGCTAGAAAAGGAACATGGAGTTATGTCTTTGCTACAGGAGAATGATTCTACAATGTTGATACTTTACCATCTTTTTCTATTCAAGATACCATCCTTAATAAATGCTAGGAAGAATTTGACAACTGCAGTGACAATTGTGAAGACCGTAAACTGCCAAATTGTGTGAAGTGTTCATCATTGAGACATAAAAATGTTAACAGAAGTGGCCACAATATAAAACCTTTTAACAATAAAGCCATAGATAGCTGCTTTGAAGGTATTTATAATTATTGAATTTTGTGATTTTTAAAATGAAACTTTTGTTTAGAACTCAACGCAAGTTTTGATCACAATCATTTAGTTATTCAAAGCCTAGTAGCAAAACATTTAATGCTCTCAAGTATTCATAAATGGCAGATGAATGCAATTAAAAACGCTATCAAAGGGAAAGACAGCTTATAGTTCAACCAACTGGCACAGGAAAATTAATGTGCTATGTTATTCCACCATTACTTACTGGAAAGTTGGCCATTGTTATTTCATCGACAATATGTCTCATGTGTGATCAAGTATGTAGCATGGTGTTTCTGCTACGTTCCTCGGTTCTGCTCAAAAGCACAACATATTAAATAACCTGTAAAAATATACTCTTGTTTAGAATCTTTCTATGACAAGCAACAGCAACCATGACAAATTTTTCTATCAATTGCCAGAAACAAAGAAATATGTCTCATTGCAGTGGATGAAGCTCATCCCATAAATTGTTGCAAATCATTCAGGTATGCTACACAGTCAACTCATTAGCTATTACCCTATAGCTGGTTTATTTCATGTGGAAATAATTTTGCGTAGGCCCATATCACCAAATAAGGATTAGCAAAATTTCAATTAGAGGCCATGATATAATAAGCATTACTACACACTCACACACACTTAAATATACACACTAGTAATTACCATATACTATATGGGCACAAAAATGCCTCTGTAAGATCATGAAAGTGCTTCTTGCAAAAAAGCTGCCAAAAACTTTCTGTCCAAAAATCATCCATACAATAATTATGTGGCTACAAAAAGTTGAAGTTTCTAATTTTAACTTATTGTTTTATTACAACTGAATATAGACTGCTTTTGCATCTAAAGTCTCATTTTCCTGGTATATCATTAATGGCATTAACAGCAACTGCCACTTCAAAAAGTTAAGGAAAAGATTGTCCATGATAATAGAACCAATACTCAAAACTTTAATGGTAAACAAGAGAAATATTTCACTCCATGATGAAGAGTTAAAGAAATTGACATTTTATATTATGCTATGTCATTTCAACCGGTACTACAGACTACTACACATCTATTGCTGACTAAGTAGTTGGTAACAATTGCTCCATTGTGTATATACTAACTTTGTTAAAGATGTTGCAGCTTTGGCAATTGCT